GTTACAAAGACTGATTTAATATCAGCTTTAATGCCATAATGATGCTATTGAATCCTTCATACCCTATATAAGAAGGGAGTAGGACAGCAGATTTTTCAACTACACAGTGAAGTAGGGAAGAACCACGAACAACACACACAGAATTTTTCTTTGTTTTCTTCTCCAAAAACTCTGCTTCTACTCTTTTCTTGGAGCTGTGTTTTGCCCGTGCTCTTGTTCGCCGGGTTCGTTCGTTTAGGTGCTCAAACGTCGAACCGTTGTACGTTTTATCCTGGGAAACCTAGGACACAACGCTCCTAGCACTTTTGGGAGGTGGCAAATAAGGTTTTAAGGAAAGACAAGCACTTTGCCTAACTCGTACTATTCTTTCCTCCTTCTCATTCTTTCTTGTTTTTGGATTATGCTTTTAAGCAAGAATCCGTTCTTCTCTTTTGATATATTCGTTGGATTGGACTTATAATCTGAGGATTATTAGTTCCAATTTTTGGTTAATATATATTGGTATATCTTTTTCGTAGATATATATGTATATATAACCGTTGGTTCCGTTATATATATATTTGTGTGTATATATATATTTCGGATAAATATCGAATAATATTTTATATACTTGTGTGTGTATATATAAATATTATTTTGTGATATTAAATCGATTTTGGTTCATTATCACCAACAATAGTTAGAGTAGTTTAGTTGGTTGATCTTCAAATTTGATTTTTAAAATTTTAAAATTGTGTATGGTCATAGGTTCGAATCTCATTAAACACACTTTTCCTTATCTTTACTTATTTATTTTATATCTTTCATTCCTTCTCAAGATAAATATTGTTTAGCCTACTTTTATGAATCATTTAATTAACAAATTAAATGTTCTTTTTGTCTACTTTTTATGAATCATTTAATTAATGTAGTAATGTAGTATACACGTTTATATTATACTTCATTTTATTCAAATTATTTTATCTAATTGATTATGTTTCATATTTTGTCATAAATATTTTTACATTTTCACCTCACTCAAGTATATTTTTTGCTCCGACTCTAACTATCGTTTAATCTATCAAAAATATTCTATTGTAATTTATAATATATTTTGTATTTTAACCTTATGATTGTTTGATATTTCGTAATTGATATTTCTAACCGTCATTTAAACTTCGCCCCCGCTCAAATATTTTTCTGGCTCCGTCCCTGTCTACAGCTAGGAATGTATTTAGAACAACTTAAATAAATACAAAATAGCCTCAATCACTTGTATGCTTAACAGTGTTTACCTATACAACGGGAGTTGCATCTGAAACCTGAAGGCAAGATGCATGACTCTTGTAGCATGAGGGAGTTGTATTCTCAATTCATAGGACATTACATAAAGAGCAACAACAAGTTTATGTTTTCCTACTTGTGTGTATAAGTCTTTGTATCTTATGTAATTAATTTTAAAATGTATAGTGGCCGGATTGAATTTCTATATATGCTAGTGTCCCGTGACTTTTTTCGCTATCAATGTGTGCGGGTTCTACAGGGTAAATTACCTTATTGCATTGTGGATCGTGATTCAAAATGATATTCAGATTATGTTCTAATTATTGTGTAGATCATGATCCACATAGTGTTGTATGGACTATAAAAGAATGTACATTTTTAATATACTAATAAAAAAATACATTATTTTTATACTAAATGTACATTATATAAAATAATATACTTTCTTTGAATACAAAATACATTTTTAATATACTAAAAGTACATTATTTTTGAACAAAATGTACATTATTTATAGTATACAAAATATGGTCGACACAATAATGATTGCTTGTAGTTGACATATTATATTAGAGTTAATTTCACTTTTGGTCCTATAACTATTGGGATCTTGTTAATTTCAATACATGACTTTCAAAACTGTCAATTTAATTAGTACCTTAACTATTCAATTTTTATCAATTTTCGTCACTCCAACCAAATTGCCTGTCAAAACTCACCGAAAAATATTAATAGGTAAAATAAAGAGGATATTTTAGTCTTTTTTACTTCTCTTTTATTTCTTCTTTAAAATACCCCTATTATTTTACCTATTAATATTTTTCAGTGAGTTTTGTCCGGCAATTTGGCCGGAGTGATCAAAATTGATAAAATTGAATAGTTAAGATACTAATTGATGGTTTTGAATGTCGTGGATTGAAATTAACAAGACTCCAATAGTCATAGGACCAAAAGTGAAATTAACTCTAATATTATTATGTGTCTTCAATTAATAAATTATGCACCTATAAATATATAAGGCACACAATATGTTAACTGCATGTACATAATTTATTAATTGCAAAACACATAATATATTACCTGGTCTATAGATACGTAATATGTTAATTGTAGTAGATACAAAATTATGTGCTTGCAGATGTTAACTACATATACCTAAAATGTTAATTGTAGTAGATACATAATTATGTGCTTGCGGTTAATAAATTATGTAACTACAACTAATACATTATGTATGTGTAGTTAACATATTATGTGTATTCAATCTATTTATAGGTGCATAATTTGTTTACTGATGTTGTTTTAGACTAGAATCCGCAATGTAAGATGGACATTGGTTCATGATATAACAATTGGGTTTTACATTAGACTATAGTTCTTAATCCAATACCTATTCAAATTTAATTCTGATAAAAATAAACCAACGAGCTGAGCATTGTGTTTTCATGATTTTGGAAATGACGTCTCGATGAACAATTTTAATATAGTTTTCGTAAATGCACGAATCACGATAATAATAGTGTACAAAAATAAGAGTTGAATCCACATGGAATTCATACAATACACTTTATAAACTTATCTTAAGAAATAATTGAATGAAACAATTTTAAAGAGTTTAAAAGGAAGTTCCAATTGCATAAAACTAAATCAAAAGTATGTGCCAAGCACTCAGATGGGAAGCGTTGTTGACTCTTTGTGTTTCATTAGGTTAGGAAAGTATGTTTGAATAGATACTACAATGTAATAGAGTCAGTAGCATTAAAAAAAAAAGTATGTAGATAATTTAAGGGAAAATAAAATAACTGCAGACAACTTGAAAGGTAACATAGGAATAAAATCTTAGAAACATGAATTCAATAATTCTGTAAATTAGTTTAACTTAATTGCCAATCAAATTAAGGGTTCGTTATTTCATTTAATATGACAACGCCGTATGACGTCCAGAGTTAATCACGTATTTTAACTTTTCATATGCTTAAGATATTTATTTAAACAGTTAAAATCCATTAAGTCATGAAGAACTTACGGAATACTCGTTTAGGAACCAAATAAACAATATGATAAGAAAGCTAAACCATTTATTCATTTATCATTTAGAGCACGGAATTAATAGACAGGTGTTTACTCTAAGAATTTCCTCAAATCAATTCAATTATGTTAAAGTTAGCCACTCAAAAACACAACCAAACCAAAACGATAAAATTAAACCAAAATACAAATGATAAGTCTTAATTCGGTTGGCAAATTAAACATGTATCAATACAAGAATTTCATAGCAATTTCATCATATTCCCATAATACAATATTTAGCAAAGCATAGAGAGATCAGTAGCAATTAATTTAGGCAACATCATACTCTAAATACTAATCACAGAATAATTAACATGCATATTAATTACAGTTTATATACATACATATATATATATATATATATATATATATATATATATATATATATATATATATATATATATATAAAATAGAAGATTCTTAATTTTCTATCTTTTTATTAAAATTGCCCTTGTTTTTAATAATTATGACACCCCAGACCATCATCTATCTGAAACTGTAGAAGTGTATGATGAAACAAGGGTGCAGTACTGCAGTGGGTGTCTAATTGCACACTGCACTGCAAATTAAATTAGCTTGTAATAATATAATAATAAATATGAATCAGGCCAGGGTAATTTATTTTCTCTCCTTCAGCTAGCAAAGAATCAATTGTGCTCCTCTCCTAATTTAAATAAATTAAATATATATTTGAAGACAACTGTCTTCACATACAGAGGCATGCATGCCAGCTGCACATATATTGCCTTGCCCACTCCTTGTCACTTAACATCAAAATAGACACAATTCAATAAATTGAAATAAACCATAATAGCAAAAATTACAAATTCTGTTGGGAGGGAATCATTACCACTCATCTTCAATTAGTATTACTCATGAATATAATATTGCATATGGGTTTGAATAAATGTGTGCAAAAAATCAAAATCCTATAACTAAATTATTTTTTCTTAGCTTACACTATTCATTTACTAAACCGAATGTCATATATATATATATATATATATATATATATATATATATATATATATATATATATATATATATAATTCAATTCCCGTGCGGTTGGATGTGTCTCGTCGGTTGTGCGGTTAAATATGAGCCATTAATCTTGCCTAAATCAACGTTCAAGATTAACAATGATTAAAAAAAATGCTGTGACAATTTGGTCTTTTTGTATCTTGGTCAAATTTAAGGTGCATGGTTTTCTTTTTTAAGGTACATGATTTTTGTGTTTAAGGTGAGTGGTTTTTGTACTATGTGGCTTAAGGTGTCCCAGTTGTTGAAAACTTATACGTCGATGGCTTAAGGTGTCCCAGTTGTTGAAAACTTATACGTCGATTTAAAGCTTTAAGTGCGTAGTTTTCCAGCGTGTATTCTACTATTTTATATTGTATATTTAGGCGCGTTAATTATTTTTTATGTCGATGCGCCCAAAAGATTTGTTTATTTTGAACATAGTCTTTACACTGTTGTCCCGTCGAGATTCAAACATTGGTCTCTTGTTCCAAATACTACTTCCTGTGCGGACAACTTATACGCAGGTGATATGGGATCTTATCATATACAAACACAAAGAACCCAAATGGGCGGAGGTGAGGTTAGAAACGGAAAAAGGTTTTGTTGAATTTGGTGATAAGGTATATAAGGCATCTGCCATCCATCCATCTCTAGAAGTTGAATCCACAAACCATCCCCTTGCAGAATTCACACCGTTATAATTATTATTATTATTTTCTCTTTCTTGAACCCACACGAATATTCTTGAAAATAACTACTGTTCTCCGATCCAATTTTTCGTCCATAAAAATTAGAATATATAAATATATATTTCGACTGTAGTGTACTACTCATATATAGATCTGATCTGATCTGATCTTCTTCTTCTTCTTCTTCTTCATATGTTGTAATTAAGTATGAACAAAAGGCAGGCAGCAAGAATCCAAAAGCTAAGCTAGTGTATTAGGTCAGGTCATGACTTCTTGCATCGGAATGGATTTCTTCCCCACCAATTTTATGCTTCAAACCCCTCATCATGATCCCAATGATCATCATCATCATCAACCCTCCACCGCTCTCTCTCCCCTCTTTCCTTCATGCACTATTCCTCCTCCTCCTCAGAACTTCCATGGTATGTATAGTATGTATATATCATTATATTATTTCTCTCTCTTAACACTTATGCAAAAAAACTATAGCTAGTAGCAAATACGTAATTACAAATTTCAAAGTGCTCGACTTGGCCTTTATCGGGCTTCTGCCCGACACTCTATGTATGTATGTATGTTGATGATTTGTATGTATGTATGTATGTATGTATGTAGGAGTAGTGGGTGGGAGTTCATTTCTTGGTGGGAAGAGATCAATGAAGTGTTGTGAAGAGGCATTGTCACATGGAGATGTGCAGGAAGAGGTGTCAGATGAGGAAGAAGGGTCAGTGCAGGCAGGAGAGAACAACAAGAAAAGGAGACTGAACACGGAACAAGTGAAGGCTCTGGAGAAGAGCTTCGAGGTGGGAAACAAGCTGGAACCAGAGAGGAAAATGCAGCTGGCTAGAGCTCTGGGTTTGCAGCCAAGACAGATCGCGATTTGGTTCCAGAACAGGCGAGCTCGGTGGAAGACTAAGCAGCTGGAAAGGGACTATGAATCCCTCAAGAGACAGTTCGACGCTGTCAAGGCTGAAAATGATGCTCTTCTTGCTCATAATCAAAAGCTTCATGCCCAGGTAATTAAGCTATATATATATCATTTTAATATATTGTTGTGTTGGTCTCATATAGGGATTAGGAATATAAATCTTTTATCTTCTTTACCACCTTTCTGTCATTATTATTGTTTATTGTTGTGGTTAAACTCAGATAATGGGAGTGAAGAATAGTAGGTGTAGGGATAGCATTCAACCCACAGAATCCATAAATCTGAACAAAGAGACAGAAGGTTCATGCAGTAACAGTAGAAGTGAGAACAGTTGTGCAGAAATAATGAAGCTAGACATTATCTCAAGGAGCACAGCTGCCATTGATAGCCATCCAACAACTACTACTACTACTACAACATCATCTCTGTTCCCAGCTGCAGGGATATCAATGCCCCATCTCTTTCACAATAATAATTCTTCATCATCGTCAAGACACTCGGATCTTATCCATCATTGCCTCAAAATGGACCCAACTGTGAAGGAAGAGAGCCTATCCAACATGTTCTGTGGGGGAGATGATCACTCTGGATTCTGGCCCTGGTTGGATCAACACCATTTCAATTGATCTTCATTTCTGTATGTGGATCATATCATATCATATCCACTACGTACTTATGTTACGTTGTGATCAGATATATTTTACTACATATATATAAAAGATTTATTTGGGGTTTGAGGTTCTTTCTTTTAATTTGGTTGGTGCCTATCCTAGCTAGCTAGGAAGGAAGCTTAGTTGATTAATTTCTGTATAAACTTAAGTTAGTAGCAAGAACACTATATACTTTGTTTTTCTTTTTTTTCTTTTTTTGTGAAGTTATGAAATTTTACGATCAATATATATGCTTAATTATAACTCTTTAGCTATATATAAATATATATTCCCATATATACTTTAATTTATTGATGAATTGCATGCATGCACTTGCTTGTTGAACAATTAATTTCTGTTAGAAATTAGATTTTAATGCCCCATATATATTATTAACAAATACATTGCATAAATTTCATATAAGATTTTTTATGGATGGCCTTCAATTCATTATTGCCATATATTGAATCACCGTCTTTCCCTTACATGCTGAATGTTTGATCTTTAAGCTAAGTAATTTTGTTCATCTTAATTTTGTGGTTTGAAATATAAGTATATATAATTTTTTTTAATTACAATCCAGCTCTAGGTAGCTATGGGGGATTGTTTGACATGCAGAGACTTGAAGGACCAAGTTCAGCACTTTACCTTTTGAAAATATGATAGTCAAATGTCAAAAGTTATAATTTTGTTTTCATAGCAATATAATGAACTTACAATTGAAGCTGGCATATATAATATAATGTTAGATTAGAGGCCGGGCTCCGCGGAACAATAATGCAAAGCAATATTTGAAGCACAGCACACATTCCAATGGGGGAAGAGGACAGACAGAGAGAGATGGGAGAGGGGAAGAAAACAAAAGAGAGTTGGAAAATGGTCACAGTTCTCGTGAAGGGGACGTTAAGTGCCTTGTGGTGACAAGTACAGTGTGACAACGAAAGGAGTATAGTATGGAATCAAATCAAACCCCAACAAAAACAACGTTAAATTAGTTGTTTCTACACACATACATACAACTTTACGTATACATACTTGCACCTGCATTGGGCACCCACTGCACATATTATATATATATTGTTTTTCTTTTCTTCACATTAGGTTTGATTAGGTTACGTTGATGCAGAGTTCACTGCACCACAACATGCACACTCTGACCTTCTGTTCTTTGGACTCACATTATATTATCCACTACTACTCTCAACCTAATCACTTCAATAATTACTTACTATATCTATGTATTCCCATCCATATATAACACTAACTAGTAGATCAGCTGATCAAAACTATTTAATTTTCATCTTTTTCTTGCTCCACTACACTACCTACTACTCACTATTGTATTCAACAACTAACTCTCAAATTACCTTGCCTAGCTTCTTCTCCAACTGATAAAAATTTGTAGCTGCTATTCGAAAATGTTCTGAGTGAAATTTACTTTGTAAATTATGATCTTTGATAGCTAGTAAAGGATTGTAAAAATGTTAAGTAAATCAGTTTAGATCCTTCATAGCTGAGCAGTTAATTTGAAACCGAGAAGATCCATAAAAACTTAAAACATTGTGAATTGTGATGCTAATAAATATCATTTGAAATTTTTTTAGGAAAAAAAAAAAGTCGTCTAGCTATATATGTTTTAGGAGGTCGCTTTCTCTTCAAAAACCTAAAAAGCAGATATTGACCAGAGCTTAGATAATTAGCTGCATGTGTTTGGTTTGAATGGAGTCAGAAATAATGGGCGGTTGGAAATTCAGAGGTTTTGACAAATGACAGCTTCCAAATCCATCCGATCATATCCTTGGTTTATTAGAGGGTTATTAGCCTACTTAATAAGATATATATTATTAATTCTCCATCTTTAATTTAATTTCAATAATCTTAATTAATGAACTCACATACAGTTATTAATAAGCTTCAAAAACCACTTAATTAATGATGTTTCATAACCGCCGGCAACTCTTATTTCCGGCCGCCTGTAATTCCACACATCAATTGAACTCAATTCATCTTCACTCAACCGAAAAGCATTAACCATAGACGATGGATAGATGCCATTAAATGAAGGGTGCCGCCAATCATATCATGAACTTTTCAGACAATCATGCCCAGCATATGAAATTAAAGAAGCTTACACGGGTTTAACTCACTGGTTCAGTATGTAGTATTTTTAAGAGAAGGGGCGAATGTTCGAATCTTAACCGTGGCAGTGTTTGAATTATGCTCAAAGTAGACAGATCCCTTGTGTATACCGGTATTTGGTCATGTTTGTTGAGTCATTGAATCACCGTAAATTAAAACCCTCTTAAAAAAAAATATCTGAGGTTTCAATTTACCATTTAAGATTTTTCAAAGTAATTGTTGCATTTATGATATGATTTTGTATCAAATCAATCTACAAAATAATGGGGTTAAATATTTTATTCACTCTTGAGCGAACATTTGAAGTATTGATGAATAGGGAATCAATGTGTCAATTCAAGTATTATTGTAACAAGCAATGGGGAAACACAAAGTCAAAATTAAACAAATAAATAATCATGTGAGTAAATGAAGACAAAGAGAAATCTCAAGTAAGAGATCAACGGATGTGATATGACTCATGTTGTGACTATTTATCTTCTAAGTTTTAATTGTGTATATTTCGATGCATCAAAAAAAAATTCTAAACACAAATTTTTTATTTTGGTTTCGATTCAAGTTTTAGACTAACTTTAAAGTCACCCCATTCATACATCAACTCTTCCTCGCATACTAACCCAAATGCTTCTCCTTTACCACCAAAATCATTCAAAACATATATGAATTAGGTCATCAAACTCATAAAATGCAGCACCGAATATTCTCATTTAAACACAATAAATAAAACACTATGAAGCAAGTTAAAATGAGAAGGTTTAAACTTTAGTGAGGCAATGATATTAACTCGTTGTGCTTTAATCAATTAAAAAAATATATATGAACATTGTAACACAGTCTAGTTGTACTCAAAAAAAAAAAAGTTCACTATAAACTATCACTTGATTAGTTGGACTAAATATAAATCAATAAGCAACCACGTCCGTGGGGCTCCGATCCAATATTAAATAGCAATTAGTTTTTTTTTTTTTTTCATAATATATTCTAGAATAACAATCTTGTTGCCGTTATGATCGAGGATATTTATGTTAATAATTTATAGTATAAGGGGCCCAAGTGGTGGCCGATAACATGGAATTATTGGATTAATAAGGTATAAACAATATTTAAAATTGTTGATTTGGAGTTTGGATGATGCAAATTAATTTATTAATTAATGAAAGAAATGTTTTCTTTTTACATTTTTTTTAACAAATAAATATTTGCTTAGGAAAGAAGCCACAGGGTTTTGGATCTAACTTCGAGGATGATCTTGAAGAAAATATTCTATTTCTATATATATCTCTGATAATGCCTAATTAATATAACTTTTTAGCTCATTTAAACATTAAAAACTCTATAAAATGTTAGTTATCAAACACTACAGCTTAGGATATAAAATCATTTTTCAATAGTTATATTAGTATGTGCTCAGATGGCACTTATGTGGCTCCCTTAAAAGAAGGTCACATGATCAAACTCTGGTGCCTGGTGGTGGAGTATTAACTCTTTAGTCTTCAACAATTTGAGAAAGTATAGAATAGATACTACATTCTAATAGAGTTAATAGTATTCAAAAAAAAAAGATATTAGTTTCAAGTTTAATTTCGGTGCATAATCAAATCTAAATTGATGGTACATTTTAGAAGAATAAATCTAGAGAATGTGAATAGATTTATTAGGATTTTGAAATTATTTTTCAAAAAAAAAAAAAAAGAAAATTGTCAAATTAGCCCCCTAAGTCGACCGGATAGTGCAATTGGATCCCCTAACTAAAAAAAACTCCATTTAGATCCCCTAAACCTGTAAAATTGTTCAATTAAGTCCAAAGTGACTTGTTTAACAGGTTAAGTCTTCACATGATTGATTTAAAATATTTTTATGTTGTTTTTTTTATAAATTTTATTTTTAGTTGTTTATTAATATATATATATATATATATATATATATATATATATATATATATATATATATATATATATATATATATATATATATATATATATATATATAGGGAAAATTGTAAAAAATGCTCCTCTATAATATGTCAATTATCAATGTCACCCCTGAATTATGAGTGGTGTAAATGTTGCCCCTCAATTATCAAAACGGTGCACATATAGCCCCTCTCGTAACGAAAATGTGGTTCCCTGTTAGTGTAGGACACCATTAAGTCGGAGTAAATATGTAATTTAGTTGTTTTTTCTCTCCCTCGATTCGAAGTACCAGCGATGGACAGCGACGGGGAACTACAAGTCCGTTACGGGAGGGGCTATATGTGCACCATTTTAATAATTGAGGGGCAACATTTACACCACTCATAATTCAGGGGTGACATTGATAATTGACATATTATAGAGGGGCATTTTTTACAATTTTCCCATATATATATATATATATATATATATATATATATATATATATATATATATATATATTATATAAAATAAATAATAATAATAATAATAATAATAATAATAATAAACACAGCCGGCAGAGGAGGTCTTGTCGTGTAGGTGGCTGTTTTTTTTTTTTTTTTACTTTACTTTTTATATATAACATTTTTTGTATAAATAATACTCTGTATATATTAATAAATAAAAAATAAATTTTTTTTAAAAAAAAACAAAAAAATAAATAAATATTTTAGAAAGACACGTGTCAACCATGTGAAGACTTAACCTGTTAAACAAGTCATTTGGACTTAATTGAACAATTTTACAGGTTTAGGGGACCTGGATGAAGCTTTTTTTAGTTAGAGGATCTAATTGCACTATCCGGTCGACTTAAGGGGCCAATTTGACACTTTTCCCAAAAAAAAAAAAAGTACTCAAACTTAGTGTAATTACTTCAAGAGTTAATTTCTCAACATTCCATGAAAATGTTATGTTGAAATTAAAATTTAACTAATTAACCAAGTAAAATTTTGATCAGTGATTATTGCAGAGCATAAAATACTTGTAACACACTTAGCACCTTAATAAGAATGAAAATGGTTAGGCTAGGAGTATAATTGGAGTGTTGAAAGTAAATGCGTAAAGTAAAAATGAGATAGATCAGTAATTTGATTATGGTAAAAGAATATATTTAAAGAGGGTGAATATAGACTTATTATGATTTTTTTTTTTAAATTGCAAAAAGAG